TTAATAAAAGGAAATGAAAGAAAGACAAACCCACAATGGTGACAGAAATAAATTGAATCTCAAAAAACAAATAATTACAACTCTGTGAAAATAAACAAATGAAAGTAAAATATTGCTTTTGAACAACATTCCAACAGAATTATTTAAAAAAATAAACTCATATAACAGGCCTTGACAAAAATTATGGTATTCTTAACTTTATATTTTTTGCACACCCACAGTTTTTTTGGTCCACTGCTCATAAGCAAACTGCTCCCGTTGTCTAAAGATTGAAGGTTGCCTTTTTCAGATGAGATGTTTCGCCTCCTTTCAAAGATGCTCAAAAGGATTTTGGTCAGGGTTCATATAAAGCCACTTGAGAATAGATCACTGTTTTCCTCTTAGCCTTTCTTGGATGCTTTACCAGTGTGTTTTGGGTCATTATCCTGTTGACCTCTAACTGAGACCAAGCTTTTTGAAAATCGGCATCACATTTCTCTTTAGTATCCCTTGGAAGTCTTGAAATTTCATGTCCACAGGACATTCTACTAGGAGTTCTGTGGCTTGTCAACATGTAGTTTTGCAACTTTTGTAAGATTGAAGTTGTTTCTGTGAACGTTGTTGTTTTTCCTTTGAGAGGTACCAACAACTTTGTCCACGTGGGTATGTTGATTTATTTTCAAACAGGCCATTTAGTATAGTTTTTACCTGCACATAAGAACGTTTGATTGAAAATCAATTTAAGAGTGAATGTTTAGGAAGTAGTTAATTTGTATCATTAACTGGATGAGAAAAACTAGTGCAACTAATTCCTCTGTATTTTTCTCAAAATAATTTGAATGGAACCTGTAGTAAAAATCTCAGAAAGCAATATTTATCCCCTTATATCACAGACATTTATATGATGAAGGGTCAACAAGCCATTTCTACAATGTTGGGAAGAATGCTGACTTTACTCACCTCAGTTAAGATCAGGGTACATGTTTCAACAATAAATAAGCTGGGAAAGATCAGCACAGTTCTGAGTCAAAAGACAATAAAGCAGATTTTTATTTGAATATTTTTTTTAATTTCATTATTTACAGGCAGACAGACAGGCAGAGAGATTATATGGCTTTCTGTTGTAAGCAGTTATGTTTTTGTGAACTGGTCAATTAGCTGTCCATAATTACAGGTTGTTGCAGATCTACATTCAGCACAGAGTGCAGAACAGCCAAGGAGGACTGGAGATCAGTTCCTGGGAGCAAGGTAGGCAGCACCTATGACTGGTAATACTTAAAATATATAGGCACATTTAGAAAATATAAATCACTGAGAACATGACTTGAATGAATAACCAAGGAATTTTATAGGTATATACATATATGAGTGTGTCCCTTTCAAAAAGTATATTTTTATTCACTATCTCAAGAAACTCAAGAAAAGATTCATGAATTTTTACGTTGAGTTTCATAGAGCAACTGTTTAACTCCATGAAATTAATGTTAGTAATATAAATTGTATCCACAGTCTGCAGTATTACTCTAAGTAGTTGAAGCAAAAATGAATACACCTCAACAAAACCCCTGTAATCTTTCGTAGTTTGTATGAGCGCTCTAAACTTTATGAAGAACAAAAGTCCTCCAAGACTGGAATGAACAAGTTAGCAACACCCTTCACCATCCATCTTTTTCCAGTGTTCGAAGAAAAAAAGAAAAAAAACCCCAGAAAAACCTTTATGGCAGCCTGGATGCTGGACAGAGAGCGATGCTCCACGATTCTCTTCAGTATTCCCCGTAGATATCAGTTTGGTTTCAACTTTAGATGTTTGTTTTTGATCATTGTCATGTTCAAAAGGTGCATAACAAGAAAAGGGGACCTGGTTTGATTAAAGCTACTTTCCTTTCATAAAGGAACAGTAGAGCTGTGGGTTGGCGGGGGTGGGGTGTCTGGAAAACAAAAGCAAATACAGTACATGACACACTGAGCTTTTTAGCTTGAACTCTAGAAAAGCAAGTCAATAATATAACAGTGTGGCATAACTTAGGTTTGGGATTCTGTAAATCTCAGAAGAGGGCTTTGTGTGTGCCGTTTCCATTAATTCAATCTGACCTTTAGTTGGTTTACTTCAAGAACTCAAACTGCCTCCAACAGCAGAAAAAAAAAACATGAATATCAGCTCTTATTCAGTAGTGAGTTTGAGTCCTGTGACTTTGGAAAGTAGGATTCAAAGGACATTAACCTATCTACCCTCTGCTTTGGTGCAGAGGTGTTCTACCTGTTTCGTCTCTATGACTACGACCGCAGTGGGTTTTTGGACGGATTAGAGATGATGAAACTGCTCTCAGACTACAACTCCTATCATGCCCTTAAACCTGAGACCAGTGTGCAAGTAAGTTGAAGTAATTGAAAGCATATGTTGGCATCATAGTATCTTTAAACACATATAACCAGCATATTTTTGTTTTTCAGCTGATAGAGGAACTGTCCTTTTTCTTTATGTCATCTTCTGTTTCAGGTGGAGATGATGGTAGATTTACTACTACAAACTCAGGATCTGAACCAGGATGGCCTGTTGGACCCTTCCGAACTACTCTCTCCATCACTCATTAGTGCACAGGTACTTTAATAGAATAAAGTCTGCCTTTTTTGCACTCATACCCCTTAATAAAATGCAATCATTTGTCCTCAGAAGTGACATTGTAAAAAAAATCACTCCGGTATGTAGTTTATTCTCAGTATAAATCCAGCTAAAGGACTCAGAAGTTTTAATTAGGGACAAAGCTAAATAAATAAATATATAGCTTCTGTCCAACTTTATTTGTTCATTTTATTGTAAATCCCATCTGTATATATGCTATTGTACATAACTGTAAAAACCCTTTTTATAGTAATATCCACCTGTATATTATATTTGGTACATATCCAGCTGTAAATTTAGTTCATAACATTAGTGATCTATATATTATATTCATTATTTATAATGATATTCATCCCTATACTCATTCAGTAGAAACCCATGTCCTGTATTTATGGAACAATTATTCATCATGCTATTGCTGCTATTACACTTCTGGTTAGACCTAAACTGCATTTCGTTGCCTTGTACCTGTACCAGTGCAATGACAATAAAGTTGAATCTAATCTAAGCTAACAGGTTAGGGATAAGGAGGAATATATTGAGGAATTTAAAACAGACTTGGCTTTAAAGCTCTCACAGAGACCTGTTCAGTCATTAATATCTGAAACTGGAGAGAGCATGGTAAAACATGGCAGACTGCCTAGACTGATGAGGAAAGCATCAGTTAGAGAGGCAGCCAAGAGGTCTATGATAATCGGGGAGGAGCTGTAGACACCCACAGCTCAGGTGGAAGAATAATCTGACAAGACAACTATTAGTCATGCTCTCCATAAATCATTCATGCTCAAAATCATTCAATCATTCAAAATCCATGAGATGATATATTGGCCGTTTGTAACCTTCAAAACAAACATTTGGCAGAAGCTCTGGTCTGATGAGAGCAAATTCTAATCTTTAGGTCTACATTTGGTCTACATTCCCGTTGTAAAAGGCTCCATCAAATATTTGAGGTGTCTGCCTTTGCAGGAACAGAAAAACTGGTCAGAGGTGATGGGAAGATGAGCGGAGAAAAATACAGTGCGATTGATAAGGAAAACCTGTGAGAGGCTGCAGATAATATGAGTCTAGATATTTTAATGTAGAGTTGTCTAATGAGTTAATATTAGTTTTTAGTGTCCTGATTAATAATTGAAAGTTTATTGAAGTACAAAGTATCTATCCTAATCAAATATACCGGTAAGTGCAATTACAAGCGATCAATCAACTGTCCATGTATTTAAGAATCCTCTTTTCTAATGTGCATTTAATACCTACAACCTCGGTTCATTCAATACTAAGGATAATGTTTCACAGCTAATTGTAGGTTAATTATTATTATCCGGTATCTCCGCCATGTCTTACCTATGAAGTCTTCTGGTTTGTACTTAGCCTAGCTCTGCAGGACATGACACGGGATAAATGAGAGTAGCAGTTTACTGATGGAGCATCGTCACTTTAGTAAAAATATGTAGGGAGGATTTGTTACAAAATTTATATCAAAACTGAACCTGTAACTAAAATTTTATTTAACTTCTAATGTAGTTTATTAAAATCTAGATAATTGAATAGCTAATACTTTTTGTCTGTGTTCAGTTTTATATTGCACATTTAATCCTTCATTGATGGACTGCAACATCCTGATATATAGAGTTTTAAATAAGATTTAACTATATTGTTTTTAAATTAAATTTGTCTACCACTATCTCCCATGAAGGGCTCCAGCAACAACAAAACACCTAATGAAAAGCAGCTAATGGCAGAAGAGAACATCCTATCAAACGCCATCGCTATGGAGCAGCAACCTGACATAATGACCCTACAAGAGGATTCAATAAAGCAAACAGAAGAACACCAAGCTCAAGAACATTTTAATGCTTTAGTAGAAAATCAGGAGCAGGCTCACCATGTTCCTGTGCATCAAGGGCAACCAGAAATCTAAATAAGGTCAAGGACACTAAGCATCTTTATTAATATTCCTTCCATAGAAAACTGTGTTGAGTTAAAAATTACTCAAGACAAATCATAAATTTGTATAACTATGTGGTGTTTCTGTTGAGGAGCTCATATTGTATGGGAAAATAAACTGGACTATTACACACAGATGCCTGTTAATACACTGTGCCTGTTCGGATAGTCACAGCATCTCATGTTACCTCTGTGATTAAAGTGATTCCCACAACTTTTACATGGTACAAGAGTTGCAACCTCTCATTTAAAAAATAAATAGAAATAAGGGACATCTATGGCCTGAATCCCCCCGACTGCCACTTGAGATGTGTTGTAGTATTATGTTTTTTTGATGCTGCTCTTTTAAGTAGAGAGGTGGTCAAGAAAGGAAATTGTCCAAATAAAGCATAAAGGCTGTTTGTTAGAAACAGACTTTTTTTTTTTTTTTTATTCTGCATATAAAGTAATATAGTAAACCATGATTAAATAATAATAAATTGTGCTATGCAGAGCATAAAGTTGTGCATAATTAACTTCTTAATGGTATATGTCCCGGGCTGCACGGTGGGTAGCAATGTTGCCTTGTAGCAAGAAGGTTCTGAGTTCGGTTCCTGGCCCGTGGTCTTCCTGCATGAAGTTTGCATATTCTCCCTCTGCATGCATGGTTGCTCTCTGGGTACTCTGGCTTCCTCCCATAGTTCAAAAACCTGACTGTTAGGTTAACTGGCTTCTGTAAATTCTCCTTTGTTGTGAGTGTGTCTGTGCATGGTTGTGTGTCTCTATGTTGCCCTGCGACAGACTGAAGACCTGTCTAGGGTGTACCCCACCTCTGGCCCATAGACTGCTGGAGATTGGCACCGGCCCCACATCAACGTTGACAAGGACTAAGTGGAAGAATATGGATGATGGATGGTAATATGTCCACTTAATAATCTACTTTATGGCACAAGCACTTAAGGGTGGTCAGTTTGAAGTTGGTAAGAAAGTACCATTATATGCTATAAGTATATACTATATATGAAATATTGTCTATACTAAAGGCTCTCAAACAACTGCTTAATAAGAACAACAAAACAAGCAGCAAACACAACTGCCTCTCTAAGACTAATCCTTGGAAATTGATTTCTTAAAATAAGAAATACACAGAAAATAATTTAAAAAAGTAAAAGGACCAATTTTTCATCATATTTTTACTTAGGTAAGAGTAGAAAGTAGCCATCCACAAATGGAAAAAAGTAAGAAAAAAAAGGAATTTTGGGGGGAAAAAAAGTTAATCAAGTAGTGGGTAACTCTTGGTATCTAATTTATTATTTAAAAAATATGTAATAATACCGGTTAAAAATGTTAAGTTATGTGTTAATTCTGTTTTTTTTTAAATAATGTTACTGATAATAATAAATCTAGGATAAGGAAAGTTTTCTTTTCAACATAAAACCATTCCTCATAGAGGGTCATGTTATAACAATCTATCTCCAGTGACAATATTTCTTATTTACTGTATATTAGCTTAACCTCCAAAACTTCATGGTAGGTTCACCGAATATTAAGTAAGCTTATTTACTGAAAATGAACTCAATCTGACCTGAAGATTAACTTTGTGTCCTTGTCTGTAGCATTTTTGTTTAAAACAAAATTATTTGTTATTCAGTAGTTTGACTCGCAGAGTTACTTTACTCAAGTAAAGTACCTGTTTTTATATAAATAGTTCTCAAGTATAAATTAAATGTATGGAATAAAATACTTCAAAGCATATATTTGTCAAAAAGTTACTCAAGTAAATGTGACTGAAACAATGTAAACTAATTACATACCAACTTCTTTATATAAGTCGGGCTATGCTGCTCTTACAGCTTCTCCTGTATTGGTGGTATTTTTAAGGATCAGCTTTATGTTTTCTTTTAAAGTATTATATTTAACACAACTACTGCTTATTGGAAACCATTGCTTTATAGTTGATTTAGGACTATTCATTGTATTTTATTAAGTGTATAGTGGCAGAAGATGCTGGACTGATGTCTACCACTAACTCCATTCTCTATTCCCTGTTAGGTATGTTTTAATTTTTAATTCTAAGTAATTTTCCAGTTACTATGTGTGTGGTAGTCTTTGAATGTTAAATAAACTATATACTGTTTGTTAATTTATTTCCAATCCTAAAAATATACATTAATTGCTCCTTTTGTTAAAGATGAGACATTTCTGTTGCTGTGTTATTGTGGGACAGAAACCAATGAAAAGCAAACGGAAATGGCTTTTTAAATTGATAAGGGGCAAAATGGAAAACAGCTGAGGCCAATCAAAAAAAAAAACAAAGGTTTTTAAATATAACAGATCTTCAATTTTTTAGGAAGAATTAATATTTTCAAAGAGCTGCAGGAATCTAATTGAGCTGTTTAACATTATTCTTCTTTTAAAGTGCATGTTAGCCTGTAGCCTATGTTAATGTCGAAAGAAAGTTTATGTATTTTGCTGAATATCAGCTGAACTACCTCCTTCAAATCAGTATGCAAAGGGTTTCATGCCCCTCTTAACATCATGGTTGTGCTTACGACAGGGTGTAAACAGTCACAGTATCCACCTTGACCAAACTCTTTAACTGTAAATTGATCTATCCAAGGGCAAACAAAAAATATGTCACATTTTCTGCTGCTCACTGACTCTGCTTTGTATCAGAGTATATAGTTTGACAGTTTAAATAAATGGATACACAAAGAGATGAAAACAGGTAATGCTTAAGAAAGGAAAATGTTCTTTTTGGCAGAGGCGTAGCCAGAAAAGTTTGATAAGGGTGGCTAGGAAATAACCAATGTACCTTGAGGGGTGGCCGAAAGTGGATAGGCGACAGAACCTCTGGGTTAAACTACACTGTTCCAACAGGAAAATAATGAGCACAACATCCATATTTTCTAAATGAAGACAAACTATCCTTTCCCAAAAAAATAGACACATATATAGTGGATATAGTTCTTTCAGGTTTTGGAGCAAACATAATCATTCTGAAAAAAAAAAAATATTTACATTAATTGATTATTTAATACTTATTTATCTATGATTTCTCTGAAGACTGCTAGATGTCTTGCAGAGACACATAATTTCCTCTTAACCCCATATAACACAAAATCTAGTTATGAAAGAGCATGAATTCTGTACTTATCTTTAATTTCAGTATATTTATGTGCATAATTAACCACAGTGTCTTTTTGTCAAGTAAGTGGTAATATATAAAAAAATTAAAATTGTTTGAATATTCCACTGGAGAGTATTAATGCTACCATCGTCTGCATTAGAGGGAAAAAGTGGTGGCGGTTGCCACAGGGGTGGCCAATGATTGGCTTAGGGTGGCCATGAACACCCCCCCACCCCCACCCCCCCAATCTAGTACCGCCCCTGCTTTTTGGAGGTCATGGCTATCCATCTTAAACCTAACAGTTTATTTAGATTTTAAAGCGTGTAGTATTTTTAGTATTTGGGATTTATAAAATATTCTAGCTAAATTTTCTTCCATACTGCAACTGATATGATATGCCAATAGGCTATTAGCCTATCTACTCCTACTTTATTCTTGGCGAAAAGAACGAAAAAAAGTAATTGGCTCACGAGACCTGCTGGGTGGTTGCTATGCAACAGGCAAACGTACTGAAAGATGGCGGACGCTAAAAGAAGTGCAGGTTCGTCAGACTTAATTGAGTAAATGAACTAATTTAATTTTATAAAAGCTTTAATATGTATTAATAAACGCTAGATTATGCCTTTATAAACCTGCCGGGGCTTTCTTAAACTAATCTCTGTTGTTTCAGAAAGCGTTTCGGCTGTTGAGCAAAAGATAACTGCCGCCTTTAAAGTGTTTGACTACGATTCCAGCAACAAGGTGGACGTCCGGTGAGGAAAGCTTAACGTCATGAAACAATTTTAGTTACATCGTTAGCAAGTAAAATAGTACAAATAAATGTATATATATATATATATATATA